AATATTCTGTCTACACATTTACAAAAAATCTACATGCCTCAGCACTTTTTAAATGTCTAAATAATTTAAAATGCAGCTACAACTAATACCACTATACCTGTACAGTTTAAAAGTGTTTTCATGTATGTACATATTTCAACTACAGAAAATGTACTAATTAACTATTTCATTTCAGATACTGAATACCTAAAATGAGCCAAGAAAATATTCATATTTCACTAAAAGTTTTAAGTCCGTGTCTCAGGGAAAAATTTGTTTTAGTCCTAAAAATATTATATTAATATATACTGGCCAGGCGCAGTGGCTCATGCCTGTAATCCCAGCACTTTGGGAGGCCGAGGCGGGCGGCTCACCTAAGGTCAGGAGTTCAAGACCAGCCTGACCAACATGGAGAAACCCCGTCTCTATTAAAAATACAAAATTAGCCAGGCGTGGTGGTGCATGCCTGTAATCCCAGCTACTCGGGAGGCTGAGGCAGGAGAATCACTTGAAGCCAGGAAGTAAAGGTTGCAGTGAGCCGAGATCACACCATTGCACTCCAGCCTGGGCAACGAGAGTGAAACTCCGTTTCAAAAATATACACATACAACTTGCAACTTTATTATAAACAGGTTAATCTTCAACAATTTCCATGGCAGCAAGGTTTCCCAATGGAGATGGTCTCTATAAAATAACTTAATTACCTGTACACAATTACACAATATAAGCCAAGAGGAAGAAAACTGGAAACTAAGTGTTGCAAGCACTAACACATGTGAATTGTACACTCCTCTTGGCATTCTTCTTTAACTGCATTCTCACAAGGGAATGCAGTTAAAGGTCTCCTATTCAACTAAGCCCCACTGATTAGTGTCCTGACTGGACAATGCTGGGCAGCAAGTACTGCAGCCTGAGTCACTGGAAAGAGCAGCAAACCTAAAGGAATTGCTGTTAGTCTGCCGGTGCCAGAATATTCTGCTGAGAGGCTCCTCGGCAAAGGGCTGGGTGTGGGCCCTGCCTAGCTGACTTTAGACCTAAGAGCTTCCAAGGGGTGCAATGCTGCACAAAATCTTTTAGAACATATTCATCTTCATTTTCGTGAAGAGAAAAGGCAAAAGATACCTCCTAAATGGCTTTCACTTCTATCTACTTCTCTCTATTCTCCCCAACCACTCAATATGTTGGTTCACGTAACCACTATGGCAAACCTGGACTTGGCAACATGCCACAAAAATACGTACATCACATTCATACAGACACACAGAATCATACCCACACACCCAGGCCACTCTCAAGATCAACCAATAACCTTTCACATTAAAGATATACGCCACTCCCCGATCAAAGTTCTTCAGCAGCTCCCCACTGCACTCAGGATAGAAGTCCAAAGTCCTCAGCATTACCTATGAGGGCCCCATCTCACAAACTTCTCTCAACTCCCCAGCCTTATCTCTAGCTGATCCCCCATCACAATCTACCAACAGACCCAACAAACCTGTTCCTCAAATGCATAGTAATCTTGTTCACATCCCAGCCTTCAGACATGTTAGTCCCAATGCCTGAAAGGAGTATTTGTTTCCATACTCTCCTTCTACCCTTCCTGCAGGTCTAGGCTAAAGTGTTACTTTCTCTATGCTACCTTCCTCTACCTCCACCCCAGCTAGGGTAGGTACCCCTCCCATAGGGCACTTGCACAATGTACCGCAACTGTCAGTTTACTTCCCTGTGCCCCCTGCCCCAGACTATGGGGTCAGTACCTCCTTGTCCACCACTCTATCAGAGGCACTCAAATATTTGTTAAATATATTCTAAGTTTACTCAGTGAACACAATATGAATGTGGCCCATGCAGTGAGGAAAACATGTTCAAAGTCAGTTACGATATGATGGAAACAAGGCAGCAATTTTGTGATGCTTTGTTGTAAAATACAAACTACATAGGTGTCTACAAACATCCTCAAGAAAGGTTAAAACACCAAAAATAATACTTTTCTCCATAAACGTATTAGTTTTGTGGTCACTACTCCTGCTAGGTAAATTGCAGTTCATAAAAAGTGTCAGATTATATGTATCACAAAATCAGCCCTGATTGCTTATAGGTCAAGTACAACATTAGTATAACGTTTCCTTTCTGCTGCCATCAAACTCTCCTGGCATTATCAGAACCCTTCCGGCCAAAGGGAAAAGGCTGGCCTGGCGCTGTGGCTCATACCTGCAACCCCAGCACTTTGGTAGCCCAAGGCAGGTGGATCACCTGAGGTGAGGAGTTCAAAACCAGCCCGGCCAACATGGCGAAATCCCGTCTCTTCTAAAAAATATAAAAATAAGCCTGGCATGGTGGTGTGCAACTACGGTCCCAGCTACTTGTGCGGTTGAGGCAGGAGAATCGCTGGAACCCAGGAGGTGGAGACTGCAGTGAGCTGAGATCGCGCCACTGCACTCCAGCCTGGGCAACAGAGCGGGACTCCATCTCATAAAAAAATAAATAAATGTAAAAGGCTTTTTACTCTGTCTCAAAAATAAATAAATACAGGTAAAAGGCTATTCCATCTCCTCAGTTTCTAAGCTTTAATATAAGTCTTTCAATAAAGATTCCATTCATGATAACAGTCTGAAGGATATAACCGTGTTGCCAGGAAATAGACCTGACACATCCTGAGCATTAGTTGCCACTGGCAGACCCTTTCTTTAAGACACATGTCTTATAATGAGTTACAATCTGAGGCTTGTGACACAGGACAGCAGACTGATGTCACAAACATGATGGTATAAAGCACTCTAAAGAGCTCACCAGCTCCACCCTATGCTCCCTCTGTGAAGGGGCAAATTATCCACCCTAAGCCTCAGTTTCCCCAACTAATGATAAGATAATGGTTCCTACCTCGCAAGATTCTTGGGGGAATTAGGCTGTCCATGAAAGCACTTCACAGGCAAATCACTTATTTTCAAATCAAAATGAAGGGAAGACTAGAAATATTTTCACATTTTCAGGACTTTGGACATGCCATAACTTATTTTTGACTAATGTTCTTCCACAGGGAAATTTTTGAGAAAGGCAGAAAAATGAGAAAATGAAAATCCACTTCTTTGTCATAACCACGGGAATGACAACATCCACGGAACTGTACGTTAAGATCCACTTTCTAATCTTTCTCTGCACTCCCAACATCACCCCTAATTTCTGTTAACCACTCCTACAATATGGAAGACAGCAAAGGGAAACTACTTCAATAATTCTTTCCAAGATGTCCTCACCAAAAACAATCTTCATTCCTGCCTCTATGTCTCCAAATATACGGAATCTTTTAAAAAATAAAACTAAAACAAAAAGATAAAAGGGACTCAAATCACAAAAGCTGGCCTTCAAAGTCTCCAGCTTCCTACTGCAGAACTACAGTCATGTGGTATGACTGAGGCACCTGTTAGGTGGCACTCCATGAAGCTTAAAAGTGTTACCAGGAGAATTTAAACTGTAATGGGGGGAGGAAGAGGGAGCGGATTTCCCACCACATTTTTTTCCCTCTGACACATGATGGCCAAACAACAATATATGCTACCCACTGTGAACATTTTTATCATTTTTTCTTAAATTGAGAAAGAGGAGAATCTGAGAGCCAACTGAGTAAACTGAATCTCATATTCCCCAATAAAGGCTGACTTGGGGTTTTGTGTGGGTTTTTTTCCTTTTTTCTTTTTGACAAGGAAATTTAACATATCTCCTGCAACGTGTTTTACATGAAGGTGAGACCTCAACAGTCTTATAACTTTACCCCAGCCTGGGTTCTAAACTCGGTTTTTACAAATGGGTGACGCGTGAATAGCTTCCTAAAAGCAAATGGGGCACTAGGATATAATCTAGGAAGTGATGATGCAAGTCTCTGGAGGACCGGGAGGAGGGGAGGTGAAAAAGTCAGAGGAAATACCCTCCCAATGCCTGGGCACCAACTCACGCCAAGGGAGGGAGTAAAGGCTGGCCTCCACATGCCCAGGGAAGGGGCACCCCTGCTCCTCCCAGAGCGGTCAATGCCGCCCCCTCATCCCTCCCCCGCCACCCTGCCCCCCTCACCCGTGGCCCGAGAGGCCCCCGTGGGCCGGAGCTTCAGGCCGGCGAGTCCCAAAGGGTGGCAACGCACCCCCGGCAGGGCCTTCTCTGCCCACCCCCAGCTCTCCACCCGGCAACCCTCCCCAGACACGACCCCCACACCCTCCCCGTAGGCCCGAGCTGGGCCCAGCCTCCAGCGTTCCGGCCTCCCGGGCCCCGAGGCCTGCCGAAGCAGCCCTGGCGTCCGCGCCCCCGGCCCCCGCCCCCACCCGGCCGGGCACTTACCCCCAGAAGCCGCAGGGACAGCGAGGCGGCAGGCTGGGCGCTTTGCTGCGCTCGCTCCCGGCGTCTCCCATGGTGCTCGGCGGCGGCGGAGCTCGGCGGCGGCAGCGGTGGCGGCGGCTGGGCCCGGGCCCCGCTCGGAGGAGGAGGCGGCGGCGGCGGCGGCGTCCGCGGCGGCGTCGGCGTCGGCGTCGGGGGGCTCGGGGCGGGGGGAGGGAGAGGGAGCGGGCGCGCGGGCGGGCGCGAGTCCGGGGCTTGGAGCCGGGATTCCAGGCCGGTCAGCTGGAGGCGGGCCGCACCACTCGGCCGGCGGAAACGGGGGGCCGGGGAGGCGCGGAGAGGAGAAGGAGGGAGCCGAGGAGGAGGGGCGTGCGGGCGCACCGAGGACCGCAGGGGAGGAGGAACACCGGCGCCCTCGGCGGCTCCTACCGCCGCTCCCCAGCCAGAGCGATGTTCCTTGCGGCGGCGCAGGGAAGGACCAGAGGCCCCCGCCGGCTCCGGAGTCGCAGCGGCCGCTGTGAAGCCGCGGGCCCTGCTGGCTTGGTAACACCGTCCCCTCCCCCGGAGGCTGCGCTAACCGGACAATGGCCGCTCCGCCCCCTCCCCTCCGCGCGCCCCTCCGGAGGAGTCACAATGGTCTCGCCCGGGGGAGCCTCCGCCTAAGCCCAGCAGCTGATCAGCTGGGATCCGGGCGTGCCACTTTGTTCTGCGCTTCAAAGGCGGAGTGCGGGGCTGTGAGAGAAAGCAAGAGGGTCAGGCTCTCGCCCGGCGACGGGCGGCTGAGGCCTTCGTATTCTTGGAACTTTTAAAATATAAAACAAACTTATCTTCCCCGTCTGAAGAAGGGGAGCATGTTTCTGACTACTCTGGGGCGCGCTGCTTCCCCCCAAACGCGAATGGTGCGCTCCAAGCGGGAGGGGGAGAAGCAGATTAGTTGTTTAGGGTAAATTGGGCCAGTCCCAGATCGGCGGCGCATGCGCCCGCAGACCCCGTAACCGAGGACGAGGAGGGGCCTTGGGGAGCGCTGCCAAACGCGGAAGTGGATCTCTGGCTTCCCCGGGACATCCGAGTCAATGTCCCCAGAGCTGCCGCTCTAGCTTCTGGGCGATGCCGGGGAGCCTTTCTCCCCAAACTGCCTACTCCCCGGGAATCTCTCTCTCTTCCTGGTCCCCCCAAATACCAAGCAACTCTTCCAGTTCCACCCGGTGAACTGGTCTCTTGATAGGAACTTCTGGGAAATGCCCCTCCCCCAGCCCCTTGTCTTGGTCAATTCCTTGTTTCTTCTCCCCACCACTGGTGTGGGGGAGTTCCTTGTCTTCCCACTCACAACCACAGAGCTACAAGTCCATTCCCTATGCCCAGGCTAGGAGAGCCGCACTTCTTCCTACAGCTGACAGGTTTGGTTTTTGGAGGGGAAAGGGGAACTGTTTCGGAATCAGTAATGGAAATTGGTAAGTGACCAAAGAAATTTGAGCCACTAAAAAAATGTGCCCTTTAACGCTTCTAGTCCTTGATCCTGAGTTTATTCTGATCTCCAGCCAGCCGTGAACAGAGAAACCGATTATTGATGACTAAGTTCAGCGCGGATGCAACATTCTCCAGACCTCTTGAAGGGATGACCCATCGCTGAGGCCCTTGTGAGCGAACTCTAAATTCCTGCTACTTCCAAGAAGATTTCCTGGCTCTTAGGAGTAACTGCCATATACCTTACTGGGCTAACGGGCATAGGAGAGCTTCATAGAGAGTATTACCTAGATTAATTTGATTACCAAATGTTGCTATCTTACTTTATATACCAAATCACATTTCTGTTTGCATTCTCTGTGGGTCATTGATGTTTCGTTTGGCCTCTAAAGAGCAAGGATCACATTAAGCTTAGTATGCCACAGATGACGGTGAAGTGAATGATTGCAAAAATCAAGCCACTTAAAGCCGAAACACCCCAAAACTTATTTATTATGCAAAGTAGTTTTTGTGGATTTTCCAAAGCCTTCAATAAGTATATCTGTAAGAAAGTTCATAGAAAAGGCCAGGCGCAGTGGCTCACGCCTGTAATCCCAGCACTTTGGGAGGGCAAGACGGGTGGATACCTTAGGTCAGGAGACTGAGACCAACCTGGCCAACATGGTGAAACCTCGTCTCTAGCTTAAAAAAAAAATTAGCTATTCGAGAGGCTGAGGCAGGAGAATCGCTTGAACCCGGAAGGCAGAGGTTGCAGTGAGCAGAGGCCAGTGCACTCCAGTCTGGGCAACAAGAACAAGAGAGCGAAATTCTGTCTCAAAAAAAGAAAAAGAAAAAAAGTGCATAGAAAGGATGAAGCCATACAGCACACCTTGCTCTCATTGGATTCATATTACCCTTAAATCTTCACTTAAACCAACACAAAATTGCCACATATATGACATACAGCCTTCGAGTTTAACAAAGATTAAGTGGGACTGTCTTTTGGCATCTTGATAATTTTATTTTATGTACAGAAAAGGAAACTTGACAACTAAAAAGAGAATTTAACATAAAATGTGATTGTCCTCTTCCAAACTGCTTTCCCACCTGTTTGCCAGTTATTCAACAAACGTTTATTGAGTACCCAGTATATACAAGGAATTTCCTACGCACTCTGAAGACTAAAAGGATTAATAAAATGTAGCATTCACTAGCAGGTCCCTACATAGAAGTCAGATAATTTGGTTCCAGTCTTTTCAGACTTCATTTTCCACCTTTCTCTATTCACCCTGCAAAGCAGACACTAGTTGCCATTCCTCAAACACACCTTGCTGTCTCACATCTCCATTCCTTTGTCAGTGTTCCTGACTGCCTCAGCTGCCTTTCCTTTTACACACACACACACACACACACACACACACGGAAATAATCTTATACAACCCAAGGACACAGAGAGCAGTAAGATCTCTTGAAGGACTGAAATAGGGACCTAATGTATCAACAGGAAGCCAAGCATTTGGCTTTTTTCTATTTTTTTTTTTCTCTGCGTACATGTTCTTCCATCTCTGCTTCTCTCTACAAAGCTGCTTTATAATCTCTACAGACCTGTTTTCACTGCTTTTTTGGGAACGTAATCCAGGTTTACCCAGCCTCACTTCAGTAACCAACAGAGACTAATTAGTATCTGAATCCCAGTCCCCAGGAGAAAGAATTTGATTGGTTCAATTTATGTCAGCCTGTGTACTCTCGGTACAATCACCTTTGACCAACAGGGCAATTTGTAGCCAGGACTCTTTGTTTTGTAATGCAAACATGGCTGCCAGAACTCCATCTTTGTAGGCTATGTTGTCAAAGAAAGTTCTGTACTTGGCGAAGATTCCAGAAAATGTCCAGCACAGGCCATAAAGGAGTAAATCGCAGCTGAAATTCAGAAGCATAAAGAACAATGGACATGTTGAGGATTTTCAACAGACTAACTCCTACTTGAACAATTTCAGACCTGAATTTAAATGCCACTCCTTCAAAGAAGTCATCGCTGACCCAAGCCCCAATCAAAATTAGGTGGCCCCATTATTATCTTACATGGCACTCTTTTTCTGTACCTATCACAGTTTGTAATTAAATACGTCGTTGTGAGTCTCCTCTCGGAAGAGTCATATCTGTTTTGTTTACTATGTTATACACAATACTCAAGGTGCATTTGGGAGGCATTCAATACTTGTTGCATGAATAAAAAGGCACAATAATTTGTTAGTTATTGTGAGACCCACAAATGGATTGGCATCGTAGTTAGACAATCCTGGGGGAATGTCTCAGTCACCAACCCACCCTCCCTGGAAGATATTGAAGCTCACTGCTTTTTCCTTTTTTTTTTTTCTTCTGACCTCATTTATCACAAGGCTGCCATCTTTTTTGTCACACTGAGGTTGTATGAGATGTGCCACAATATTTATCTGCTGCTTATGACGTTCCTCCCCAGCTAACTCTTTACTCTTAGTTGCCAGTGTCTCTATCTGTAGAGCCCTTGATCCAGTTCCTATAACAAGACCACTTAACTGACTGAAAGCTCAGAGAGGACATAAAATTTCAGGGCATCATCAAATTAGGGGAGCAAAGTGTGGGGGTAATTGGCAGAAGTGATTTTGTCGTAATTGTCTTGACTATTTTCTATCATGGATTACGTTCCAGATGAACCTGTGATGTGACTCCTGGGAGTAGTTTGCAATCACCATTGGTCCAAAAGGAGCCATCTATGTGCTTAGTGGGGTCTAGTAAAGGATAATATTAATTCTTCAGCAGCCAGAGCTCTTGAAGTAAGAACTGAAGGTGTACAGAAAAGAGCCCGGTATGATTCAAGGTCAGGAGCACACAGTGGCTGCTTTCTTGGTCAGAATTCAAAAGACCTACTTAGCCCTGGAAGACATGACCAGAATGAAGGGGCTTGTAGAGACTTGAGCGAATTTTGAGGTTACGGATTAGAATTAGAGTGGAAGATGATCTTCCACTCTAATTCTAATCCGTAACCTCAAAATTCGCTCTCAGTTCAAGCTTGTCATCATTATAATCCATCCTAACCTGGTATTAGCCCCAATGTCCTATCCAAACTCTAGCCTTAACCCTAATCCTAATATTATCTGTAAAATTTAATCTCAGATCCCAACTCTAATTCTATGAGCTTAACAAAGGCTCCTTGCCTTGCCACTGAGTTGTTTTCCCTAAGCCCCTTTTTCTTGTGCCCCTTGACCCTGACTGACTCCTGGGAGCAGAGAACCCTATAATATCCTGGACCCCTGGAGAGAATGAGAGCCAATTTCAATAATCCAGGTTGGATCCAGGGCCTTGGGCTACCAGAAGAGAGAAAGTGGGGCATCTGTCACCAGAGCAGGAGGCAGAGACCCTGCCCAGTCATATTTCCTATTGCCTAATTCGGGGACTGCTAAGCCTCTGAAAGTCCAAAAAACATCCCTCCAACTCACCTATGTACACTCAGGAATGTGAGGTACAGTTGGCCTACAGCGGAGTACCTGAGACCCCTCTGCAAACAATATGGTTAGATTAGACAAGTGGCTTTTACACTGTGTTCTCAGAGAGCAAGAATTCTGAGTTTTGTTCTCCTCTTTCATTTGAGTTCGGTTTTCCAAAAGGGTGAGAGTGGATTTTTTTCAAAAGGCACTGAACCAGATCCTCTCTAAGGTTCCTTCTGGCCCTTGAGTTTTCTGATGTGCGATTGATTCTTTTAGTCACTTATGGTCCAGTTGGCATGGATAAACTCTCAGAGCCAAGGGAAAAGAAGGGCAACCAAGCATACCATCTCCAGCCCCTCTCAGGAAACTAAAAATAAATTAAATAAAATGAAGAATGTGGCGGGGAGGAGAGGAGAAAATTTCACATCCCATGTTCCTCATGTTGATGAAGCAATTGCTGACTTCCCTGCTGCTCACACCCATCTTGGTGTGAAATTTGATTTTGCTGACTTTTAAATTTCTTTTTGAGAATGGAAATAATTGTTTTTTTCCAGAAATACTTGACCTTAGTGGGGAAAAAGAAATTCAAACAATGAGAAAGCAAAAGTCCTCCCTAATACCGTCATCCCCCAGAGATACCCTTGATTAAGAGTTTGGGGTATAGCCCTCGCGGCTTTTCATTCTTGTATGATCATGTAAATGGAATCATGTAACACATGGTATACTCTGGCTGTTTTTTTTTTTTAATTTTGAAATATGTCATAGACATCTTCCTTGTGCAGCTCTGCAGTATAGTCTCGTAGTTAGAGTTCTCTAAAGAAACAGAACCAATGGGAAATTATACATGAGATTTATTGTAAGGAATTGGTTTACACAATTATGGAGGCAGAGAAGTCCCAAGATCTGTAGTGTGAAGGCCTGGGAACCAGGAGAATCCATGTTGTAAGCGCTAGTCTGAGTCAGAAGCAGAAGACCAATGTCCCAACTCAAAGGCTATCAGGCAGACAGCAGATTCTCTCTTACTTAGCCTTTTTCACTATTCAGGCCTTCAACAGAGTGGATAAGGCCTGCCCATCTTGAGGAGGGCAATCTCCTTTACTCAGTCTACCATTTTGTTTTAAGTCATTCAAACTGCTGTGACAAAATACTATAAACTGGGCAGCTTGTGAACAAGAATTTATTTCTCACAGTTTTGAAGGTTGGGAAGTCTGAGATCAAGCCACTGACAGATTTGATCTGATGAGAGCTGACTTTCTGGTTCAGAGATGGCACTTTCTTGCCATGTCTTCACATGGTGGAAGGGGCAAATGAGCTCCCTTATGCACTAATGCCATTCATGAGGACTGTGCCCTTATGATGTAATCATCTTCTAAAAGACTACCTCCTAATACCATCACCACGGGCCTTAGGAGTTCAACATATAAATTGGGGACTGAGGAGGTGGGGGGACACAAATATTTAGACCATAACAAATGTTAATCTCAACCTCAAAGACATACCCATAATAATATTTAACCAAATATCTGGGTACCCTTCGGCCTAGTCAAGTTGACACATAACATTAACTAACATTTAACTCACGGGCTCCAAACTCAGGCTGCCTAAGTTCAAATGTGAGTTCTACCACCTACTAGCTCAGAGACTTTAGGGAAGTTATTTTGCTGGTCTGTATCTTAGTTTCCTCATCTGTAACAGGAGGTATTTGTAGTGAGCTGTGGTTTTTATCTGCCCACTACTCCCTGCTTCTCAGGGATGCACACACTCACTGGTTTTGTCAGGGAGCCTATCCTTCTGGACACAGGAATTCAGATTGGCTGAGAGAATGGCAGAGCCCTCCCTAAGCTGACTTTTGAGCTTTGTCTTCTGAGATCAAGTGTCCCAAAGACTGTGTAAGCTTGGAGCTGCTGAGGTACCCACCATCTGGAGTGAGGCTGCCTGGGGATCGAGCCAACAGAAAGGGAAGAAGAAAGATGGAAAGAGATAGAAAGGCTAAATCATCAAGACATTGTCTGAGTTCTTGAATCCAACTAAGTCTGACACCAGAGCTACCCTCTGGACTTTTCAGTTACATAGGCCAAAAAATTCCTTCTTTTACCTACACTAATTTGTATTGAGTTTCATTATGCTCCATGAGAAAATCCTGACCATCCCTAGTTCTAGTAGTATCTACCTAGTTCATAAGTTTATTGTGATGATTAAGGTATATAATCTGTGAGGAAATCTTAGCATAGTATGTAGTGTATGATACAAGCTCAGGCTGGGCGTAGCTCACACCTCTAATCCCAGCACTTTGGGAGGCCCAGGCAGGCAGATCACTTGAGGTCAGGAGTTTGAGACCAGCCTGGTCAACATGGTGAAACCCCATCTCCACTAAAAATACAAAAATTAGCCAGGTGTGGTGGTGCACGCCTGTAATCCCGGCTACTTGGGAGGCTGAGGCAGGAGAATCACTTCAACCTGGGAGGCGGAGGTTGCAGTGAGCCGAGACCGCATCACTGTACTCCAGCCTGGGCCACAGAGCAAGACTCCATCTCAAAAATAAATAAATAAATAAATAAAAATACAAGCTCCATAAACACTTACTGTTGTTATTAACATTGGTTCCTTTTTAATGGTTACTGACTACTCCATTGTATGGGTGAATTATTTAAAGAATCTCCTCTTAATTCATTTATCTCATCATTGATTCATTTGTTTTCATTTATTCATTCAAAAGACACTGAGCGCAGTATTAGGCCGTTGTTGCATTGCTGTAAAGAAATCCCTGTGACTGGGTAATTTGTAAAAGAAAAGCTGTTTAATTGGCTCATGGTTCTGCAGTCTGTCCAGGAAGCATGGCATCAGCATCTGCTCAGCTTCTGGGGAGGCCTCAAGGAGCTTTTACTTAACGGCGGAAGATGAAACAGGAGCAGGTACTTTACATGGTGAAAGCAAGAGCAAGAGAGAGTTGAGGGATAGTGGAATGCCACACACTTTTAAGTGACCCGGATCTTGCTAATACTATCGTGAAAACAGCACCAATCCGTGAGGGATCTGCCCTCATGACCCAAACAGCTCTCATCAGGCCCCACCTCCAACACGGAGGATTACAGTTCAACATGAGATTTGGGTGGGACATCCAAACAATAATTGGCACCCATATCATATGTTAGACACTGTTTTAAGCATTAAAGATACAATGGTGAATGAGACAGATGTGTCCCCACTCTCATGGAACTTATCTTCTAGTGGTACAAGCAAGCAATGAACACTAAAAAGTGACCTGAAAGACAGAGACAGCTTTCCCTGTTTTTTTTTTTTTTTTTTTTTTTGATACAGAGTCTCGCTCTGTTTCCCAGGCTGGAGTGCAATGGCACAATCGCGGCTCACTGCAACCTCTTCCTCTTGGGTTCACCTTGGGTTCAAGTGATTCTCCTGCCTCAGCCTCCCAAGTAGCTGGGATTACAGACACATGCCACCATGCCTGGCTAATTTTTTTGTTTTTTGTTTTTTGTTTTTAGTAGAGACGGGATTTCACAGTGATGGCCAGGGCAGTCTTGAACTACTGACCTCAGGTGATCCTCCCGCCTCGGCCTCCCAAAGTGTTGGAATTACAGGTATGAGCCACTACGCCCAGCCAGCTTTTCACTTTTATAAACAATTTGACAATGCACATCTCTGTCCATTTGTCCTATTAATGTCTTGGATAAATTTTTCAGGAGAAGAATTTCAGGCCAGGTGTGGTGGTTCATTCCTGTAATCTCAGCACTTTGGGATGCCAAGACAGGAGGATCATCTGAGGTCAGGAGTTCGAGACCAGCCTGGCCAACATGGCAAAACCCCCATCTCTACTAAAAATATAAAAATTAGCTGGGTGTGGTGGCAAGTGCCTATAATCCCAGCTACTCGGGAGGCTGAGGTGAGAATTGCTGGAACCTGGGAGGCAGAGGTGCAGTGATCTGTACTCCAGCCTGGGTGACAGAGCAAGATTCCATCTCAACAAACAGAGTAAATAAAAAAAAAAAGAATTTCAATGCCACTGAACATTCATTATATATGGCCAAAATTCCCTCCAGAAAGCTCGTACCAATTTATACTCCGTCCAACAGTGAAGAAAGCAGATTTCTCCATACCTCAGTAGCCTTGGAATATCAGCATTCTCTTTGATCATTGCCAATGCAAAGGTTAGAAAAAATAAAAGGGAGGTAGAGGTTGCGGTGAGCCGAGATCGTACCATTAAAAAAAAAAAAAAAGGGCACCTAATAGATGTTTTAATTTGCATTTTGAGGGTTATAATGAGGTCCAGGTTTTTTAATGTCTATAAATGTAACATTTAAATTTGGATTTACTTTTGTGTGGCATTATCTGTTGATGTTCTTTGTCCATTTTTCTACAGGAGCTTTTTTTTTTCTTATTTAGCTTAAGATATTAATGTTGGTTTTAAGAATATTAACTCTTTGTCGTATGCATGGCAAATTATTTCTGTGTCATTTATCTCTTAATTGTATCTAGGAATTTTGATTTTCAAGATATCTAAAAGTCAGAAGAAATATGTGAATTAACCTTGGGCAATGTTTGATTGCCTACATGGGCAGTTTTTTTTAAGGCCTCTATTTGTTGCTTAAAGGCAAAAAGGAAAGGAGAAAATTAAAGGGGGAAAGACAGGATATGGCAGGGTTTGGGGAGCAGGCAGCTGAGAGAAATCTTATCCCTCATCTCAGGCAGGCTCAGCTCAGAGACCAATAAATGGCCAAGAACTTCATGAACTGCCCTAGCCCATCAGGCTTGGTGCCAGCCCTGAGCTCCCTGGGGTGAACCATCCAGGACATGTGAGCCAGCTTTCCCCTTTTCCTGTCTAAAGGTTTTTAAAAGCAGCCAGAAGCCACAGCCAGGCTGCCATGTAACTCTGTGAGACCCCAGAGACTGGCCTGAAGTTTCCTATCAAGTCCCTTGCTTGTTTGTACAGATTATTTCTAGGGGTGAATGCACCACATGTGGCTGGGATGGACTCCAAGAACTGACCTAATGAGGAGAACCAAGGGTGTTTGTGAAAGAGAGAGTTTTAGGAGAAAAGGGTTAGAATTCATTATTAGGATGAAACTAGGGAAGGAGCCAGAGTTGGGGAGGTTGGGCTTGGGAGTCAGGAGCAGACATTTAGAATGCCAGACAGAATTAGTGGCACAGGGAAAGGCTTTTGACCTGGAAAGAAGCTCAGATATACAGGATGAAGTTGAAAGGTTAAGATTTGTGTATTCATTTGAGTTCCCCCAGAAAGCTGAGCCTGAGACAAGGATTGAGAGGAAGAGAGAACATAGCTAGGGATGGCAAGGTGGCCAATAAAGCTGCATCATGGAGCCAGCTATCACTGGGAGCACTACAGCTCAGTCCCAGGGGAGACCTAGTCCTAGTGGCGACTGTGCAAAACCTCACCTTAAAGCCATCCCATCTGAGGAGTGGGGGGAGGTGGCACACTGAGTTTTATATACCCACTTCCTTCAATAGTTGACATAGATCACTGCACTACAGCCTGCCTTTGCAGGCAAAGCAGGCTTCTCTGGTTTCAGAGAAAACCCTCAGGCAAAGACATGCAGAGACCGGCCACTGGAATTTGGTGGGATCACTCAAGTGGTAAGGGCTGAGGGACATGGACCGGCACCTACACCTCTGCTATACCTGGAGACAATTTGCGTGCAGATTTGAGAGACGTGATGTTTGCTAAAATTATCCAGGGTTTTTTT